CACAGCATCTTTATTTGCATGCAGAATGTCGGGTGGAATCTAGCGTCCCACTCTTCAACAAGTCTCATCTCTTGCCAGGCCCCCTTCCAAACAACTATGGTTGCCAAGTCTGCCTTGGGAAATTTCTGGAGATTTCAATGGTGGTGCCTGGGGTACAGCAGGGATGTGTTGCTGTACTGTACACCTTCCCAGGCTGCCATTTCCTCCAGGAGTAGACAAGAGCAGGAGTCCATTAGCACCTTAAAGACTAACAAAATTTGTGGCACGGGTGAGCTTTTCTGGGTCTGAAGAAGTGAGCAGCGACTCACGAAAGCTCAGACCCTGCCACAAATTTTGTTAGTCTTTAAGGAGAAGAAGAGTTGGATTTGTACCCTGCCCTTCACTCAGAGCGGCTTATAGTCTCCTCCCCTTCCTCTTCCCACAACAGACACCCTGCAAGGTGGGTGCGGCAGAGAGAGCTCTGAGAGAATTGCTCTTGAGAGGACAGCTCTGAGGAAACTGTGACTGACCCAAGGTCACCCAGCTAGCTACATGTGAAGGAGTGGGGAATCATACCCAGTTCTTCAGATTAGAGTCTGCCACTCCTCACCACTATACCAAACTGGCTAATGGACTCCTGCTCTTTGCTACTGCTACAAAAGGCTATTTTTGGGCAGGAACGCACGGGAACGGAGTTCCGGCTGGCTCCCAAGTTGGCCACGCCCAGCAGGAACTCATTAGCATAATAGGACACACCCAACAGCAGAAACTCATTCTGATTGGCTACAATTAGGGGTGTGTGGCCTAACATGCAAAAAGCCCTGTATTTTGACAACAAACAAGGTAAAGAGAATAAGAAGCAAAAGGTGGGTGTGGCTGGATGACCACACTTCTGGTAACATGGGGGTGTAGCCTAATATGCAATTGAGCTGTGCTGTCAGGGGTGTGGCCTAATATGCTAATGAGTTCCTGCTGTTGGGTATGGCCTATTATGCTAATGAGTTCCTGCTGGGCTTTTTCTACAAAAAAAGCCCTGCTGTTACAGACAGACTAACACGGCTACCCATCTCAATCTGTTTCCTCCAGGGCAAGTGATCTCTGTAATCTGGAGATCAGTTGTCCTGTGACCTACCTCACAGGGTGTCTGTTGTGGGGAGGGGGAAGGGAAAGGAGTTTGTAAGCCGCTCTGAGACACCTTTGGGTAGTGAAGGGCGGGGTATAAATCCAATCTCTTCTTCTTTAGAGAGAACTCCAGGCCCCACCTTGAGGATGGTAAACCTAAAAAGCCTTTCCTGTTTCCTCTGAAACTCAGTGGCATTTCCTGAGCAACTAATGGAAGGCAAGTTCCCCTGAATGTCAGCTGGGACACCGTGACTGATCATTTCCTGCAAGCACATTTGCAGAGTAAGGGAGGCATGTTCTTGGCTGTGCTTGCAGTTCGTATTTGGCAAGGTGACATCCAAGAGTGTTCTGTGAGAACTAAATATTTGCCTAGAACGTGTTCTAGAATCCTCTGAAATGCCGAGGTGTGCCTTGGCAGACAAGATGAGATGGGAAACGATTCTGAAATGATTGCTTTATAGTATCAGAAAGGGCACTCTTTTCAGGCTAGACCGTGCCACAGGCAAGATTTTTCTTGAAGAGCAGAGAAACGGAGGTAAACTACCACTATGTGGGGTGTTTCAGTGATGGAACATACCCAAGGGCAAACCTGGTGCACAAACCTGGTGCATCTCACTTGCACCCTAGGGGTTGGATCTGGCCAGCTTTTTCAATTCCCCTCCATGCTACAGCTCCCATCCCACATGGCTTTTGTTCATGCCCATGGCATATGGCTTTAAGTTGTGACTCAGTTTCCAAATTGTGGCAAGTCTTCTCCATGAAGCAGATGCCACATGGAGAACTAGACGCATGGCAACAATTGAATTTGCAGTAGCAGGCAAGGTTTATAAGTCACTGTCATGCAAAAAGCTCAAAACGAAGTGATACATACCACAAAAGCAAAATTTGCAGCAGCACCGTATCTCTCTAATATTACATATGAAAAGTATTGATGGGCTTTCTCTAGAGCGTGTTTTGATGCTTTCCCCTCTAATTTACTGCAAGGAAGGTATCTCTGTTGGCCTATACATTGTAGAACCTCCAATAAGGGGGCTATCCATCTCATTAGGGAGCTCATGACACAGTCACAATGGAAAAGGCCTGGGTTCCGGAGTATGTCAGACAACAGTACCTGGGCCATAGGAACACATGGGAGAAGACAGTCTTTCAGATAGGTGGGTCCTAGGCCGTGAAGGGCCAGTTTGGTGTAGTGGTTAGGAGCATGGACTCTAATCTGGGAGAACCAGGTTTGATTCCCCACTTCTCCACATGCAGCTGCTGGTGTGACCTTGGGTCAGTTACAAGGTCTTTCAGAGCTGATCTCTCACGAGCAGTTCTCGAAAGAGCTCTCTTAGCCCCACCTACCTCACAGAGTGTCTGTTGTAGGGAGAGGAAGGGAAGGAGATTGTAAGCTGCTCTGAGACTCCGAGTGAAGGGCGGGGGAATAATCCAAACTCTTCTTCTTCTTCTTCAAATAGGTAATAACTGCTAAGACAGTGTTGTACTACAGAATCTCTGTTTTATTTTGTGCAGGTTTTGGTTTCTACAGTTGTTGTGCATTGTTCAAAAAGCAATTTCTTTTTCATTGACCTTACAAAGCTGTTCGACGAGAGTGGGGTTGGCTTCTCCATTATTTTCCTTGGACCTTGTACAAACACAATTTTTTAAAAAGTTGATTATGTAAACTGGTAAGGCAAGGATTTTGAAAATCAGCTGCCACAATATTACCAGACGCAAGAACCTGTGGTAGCTTGCAGCAGGCCATTTGCTGATTCCTGTCTGCATGCATACGTATTGCATGCTATCTTGAAACTGGTACAATTTTGGGATTGCCAAATGCATCCAGTGCAACTAGCACAGGAGGTACACCAGAGCTTTAAATCCGCCAGATGTACACCAGCTTTAACTCATGGGCACAAACACATAAACAGTGACTTGTTGCATCAGACCAAGGCACACTTCATCCTAAGAGCAACCTTTCAGATGTCTCCAGGTGCTCTCAAGCAGGGTCTTCCCCTTTGTTTAGAGCACCTGGTTATGATGTGACCGGCGTGATGTAAGGGTCCAACTACACATTACTGATTTTAAAGAGTTAGGCCTTGGGAACTTGTGATCCCTGCAGCAGAGGGAAATGGCTTCTTTAAAAAAGGAGAGCCCAAACAGCTGCTCCATGTGCACAGATACTCCAAGTTGAGCAGCAAAAATTGGGGAAATAACTCCCTCCCAGGGTAGTTTTTGCATTAGAAAATGGCTGGGGGGGGGAGCAGGTCTTTACTCCCCCCTGTGCATTGATTCAAATCTTGTTTGGACTTTTGTTTTTTGAAAAGAAGCCACTCCCTGCAGATGTTCTGTGGGGAACCTGGAGGACCCAATTCTTTAAAAACAGTAACGTGTAGTTTGGCCCTAAAGGAAAAGGTGGAGGCCTTTGTTCTCTCTCCAGCAGGACAATTAGTGCAGACAAGGCCTACGTCATCTAACTCTTAGACCAGACTAAAAAAAAAAGACCACACTCTGATAATCAAACTATGTACACTGCAGAAAATCAGAATTGCACTTGCTCACCCTTTACTTCCATGCTTGTCATTCTGTTTGCATTAAGCCAACATCTGTAACTGCCCAGTGAATCCTTTGAGTCACAAGTCCAGTTACCATTACCTCTAAAACTTAATTTCTGTGGTGCATGGATGACCATAATGCATCTGTGAGCATGAGCCCTTTTGTAAGCAGTTCAGGGGGACGAACTGCAGGCTGATACAAGCATCACTTAATTTATACGAGCGCTTATAATACCCTAGGCGCTGAACAAGAAGAAAATCAGAACAGGCCCCTGCCTACAGGCTCCACAGTCTGAACAAAATAAATGAAACAAAAGGGGACTCACGAGGGAAAAGGGGAGATTTTAAAAATAAGATACAAAGGAAAATAATAGAAGTAGGGCTTATACAATAATTAACACATGCACTGTTTGAATAGCTGCGACAGCCCCTAATGAGTTTCCATTAATAGATATGGTATAGGAAAAATGTTCATGTTGTCTCTGGAAACAAGACTTCCCCCCCCTTTAAAGCAGCGGTGCTCTTCAAAGCTAGAGCTTAGTATCAGCTAGAATTTCAAACGCCACACTGTTTTCATGCATAACACATCCCCGGGGTTTCGCTTTGTGTTCTCCAAAGATAAGTTATCTACTAATATATAAATGGAATTGGACTTGCTGGCAACCCCAAACACAGAAATGAAACTGGAAAGTAAAATTTTGCAGCACGGGGCCTGTCGTGCTCTCTCTCAAGTGGAGAGCAATCTTATTGCCTAGTTTTGATCTCAAGTAAGGGTTGATTGACGAGCATTAGAAACTAGAACTACTGAAATTGAGGTAGAAGAAGATGACGAGATTGGATTTATCTGCGCCCGTCACTTAGCTGACAATCTCCTTTCCTTTCCCCTCCTCTCCCCACAACTGATACCCTGTGGGGTTGGTGGGGCTGAGAGAGCTCTTTCGATAGTTGCTCGAGAGATCAGCTCTGAAAGAACTTATGACTAACCCAAGGTCATCCAGCAGCTGCAAGTGGAAGAGTGGGGAATCAAACCCGGTTCTCCCAGATTAGAGTCCGTGCACTTAACCACTACACCAAAATGGTTCTTGGTAGAAGACTCAACTGATTTGCTGCAGGCTTGGCGAACGGCATAATCTTATCGTTAGCTGCATACATCCATGTTACAAGTACGTTTAAACACAGATTTACTTAATAAGGAATATATAATCTGCTGACCTTTTAGGATTTGTGGCATGTAAGTTTCTAAACACCTTATAGTAAATTCAGCATGGAAGCCTCATATCATATAGAGTTCTGTCATCTGCACATGCATCTAATGATCACTCTTCTACTTTAAGACATAAAAACAGCGGTCCTGATGAATGGGGTTCCAGTCTATGTCTAGTCCTTATGACACAAAAACAGAATGAAAAACAGGGAGCTTTATTTCAATTTGTCTAGCGAAGCAGATAACTTACTGCACGGGGAATATGTCATGGCCATGGGAGGGCTGTATTCTGCAGAGTATTTCTTGCAGAAAGGTTATCAGGACACCAAAGAGAGAGAGAGAGAGACACTCAGAGAGATAATGCTCCTAATTGGAACAATATGACACAGTAAGAGAAAGAAAAGTACATCCTTTGCCAAGAGACAAATCACTAACAACACAGCATAGCCTGACCATTTTTAGTTCTCAGTTATCGGATGGGCATTGTCAACCTTTGCACAACACCTCTGCTGGGATAATACCCCTGTACTCCACCCAACCCCTAAGAAATAATTGCTATTATTATCTTTCCCCTCTTTATAGGGTTGAACTGTACAGCACATATTTTCTGAAGTCTCCCTGAATGAGTAAAATGTACATGTCAGCATAAATGCCAAGCAGGCATCGTTCACAGTAATATCCATAAACCAATTTATGCTTTTTATTAAAAAAACACACTGCAGGAATATTTGTACACTTTAGAGTGAGCTTGTGAAATTCACTGGCTGATCAAAAGAATTAACTTTTGAGAAGACACAGTACCAGAGTCAAATCCCTTTGCACTTAAACTCCTTGAAGAGAAGGCAGCATTCAGGACAAAGCCATCTTTGAAACAAAAACTCCTACCCGCAATGAAAATATGCTTAAAAGCTCCCAAGATAGTAGACTCTGATGTTAACATGATTTTCTTTTATTAATGTGATTTTAGCATTTTAGGCACCAAAGTCCACAAGACGAGTTCATCAGGTTATGCTGTTAGCCAGCATTACAGCCCAATCAAATCTTTTCATTTTGTATCCCTTTAAATGGTAAAATAAAAATATATATACATGAAGTCTTCACCCAATGCCAGTCTCTTCTGAACCGTACAGAGAGCATCTTAACATTTTCTCATACAGTTGCTACTGATGAACGAGGACGAACTTTGAAGGTTTAACTGCCTTAAGAAGCAACGCCAACTGGTGCCCATATATAAATTAGGGAGAGGCAACGTAACAACAAAAACGCTACGATAACATTGATCCACTGTGCTACAGGTATGGACAAATTAACATGCGTGGTCTGGAATTAGTAGTCGAAAGCCAGCTTCCTTGGAGTCATGAATTCCTTCACCATTTCACTCGTGACTTGCTTTCGCCTTTGCTGGTGAGTCGCGATCAAGGGCTGCAGTGTTTCAATCAGTGCCTTCTTCAGCTCTCCTGTTAAGAGGGCTCCGCTTGTATAGGCCTGCCAAGAGAATATCAGCAGTTATAGCCAGCAGCATCTGGAAAAGACAGTCAACTTACTCTGGACACATAACACAGATTAACTATCCCTTAAACCCTTTAATCCCCCCCACACTCTGTTCCACAACACATGATGAATCTTTGACTATTTTAATTTATGCCTGTGGGACTCAAATGCCTTGATGAACTTCTCAATCAAAACACTTGTAATTTTGCAAAACAAAACAAAACAAAAACTGCATGCTGCTGGTTCTCACAAGGAGATTGCCAGAATTTACCAGGAAGTTTCAAATCACTACTTGACCTTGTGCCAAAAATGCAGCTGCAGGAACAAACAGGACCAAGATCAAGATGGGGAGCCGTGTTAGTCTGTCTGTAGCAGAAGAAAACAGCAAGACTCCAGTAGCACCTTAAGTGATAACAACATTTGCTGCATGGGATGAGCTTTCGTGAGTCACCACTCACACAGGACCAAGTACAGGAGCACAGTGCCAGGAGTTTTGCCAGTCCTCAACCTTGGCTTTGCGACTGGGCCAAGTAGGCTTCCCAAGTCCCCCCGGGGGGCGGGGAAACCCCTGCCCCAGAGGCCCATTCGCCGCCGCCGGATCGGGCCCCGGAGGCCCCACCCTGACGTGCGCGTCACCCGGAAGTCATACAAGGGAAAACTTTGTGTGTGTGTATGTATAAGTGAGAGGAGCACGGCACCATGTTCCACCAATGCATTGCCATTTCAGCTGTTCAATATCCCACAGCATCAAGAGATTCCCCTATATACCTTCTGTTCTTAAGCAAGTTGTCACGAGTTAAAGGGTATGGCCAGTGAAGATCACACAGTTGGGTTCTTAGTCTGTTGCTAGAATTGGCTTCAAGAAGCCATGGATGGGTTAGCTCCTTTTCCTTCTTGGTGTAGAGGGAGGAAGGTGTTAAACAATTAACAGACATTAGCGTTTATGCTTTGCTGTTGACTTCCCTGCCTTGAAGTATATTAGGAGGGGCTGTGGCTCAGTGGGAGAACCTCTGTTTTGCATACAAAAGGTCCCAGGTTCAGTCCCCAGGAGGAGGAGGAGACTGGATTTATAGCCCGCCCTTCACTCGGAGTCTCAGAGCGGCTTACAAACTCCTTTCCCTTCCCCTCCCCACAACAGACACAAGCGCGTCACCCGGAAGTCATACAAGGGAAAACTTTGTGTGTGTGTATGTATAAGTGAGAGGAGCACGGCACCATGTTCCACCAATGCATTGCCATTTCAGCTGTTCAATATCCCACAGCATCAAGAGATTCCCCTATATACCTTCTGTTCTTAAGCAAGTTGTCACGAGTTAAAAAGGACCAGTCAGCAGGTGGTGCAAAAAGCCTCTTCCTGGTACCCTGGAGAACCGCTGTCAGTCTGAGTGGACAATACTGATCTTGATGGACTAATGGTCGGATTCAGTATAGGGCAGCTTCATGTGTTCCATCTGTGTTACATTTCTGGGTGTGCTTTTTCCCCTCCTCACTTCTGTGTGGAGTTTAGCTCACTTGCCTGTTGGGAGTCTGCCATGGGAGCCGAGGGAAGTGAGGATCCTTCTGGCACAGATCACAGGGAGGGAGGAAATCCAAGGTATTCCCCCCCCCAATATATAGCAGTCAAAAAGAGCAAGAGTCCAGTAGTGCCTTAGACTAACAAATTTTGTTTAAGTGGCGGCGAAAGAACAATGGTGGCATCCGGCGTTCCGAGGAGGCGACGACCAGATCGGATGGAGGTGGAGTCGGGGCGACGCAACTGCAAGACGACACAGCACGGCAGGAATTTTGTTAGTCTTTAAGGTGCTACTGGACTCTTGCTCTTTTCTATTGCTACAGACAAACTAACATGGCTACCCATCTTGATCCCACTCCTATATAAAAAGCCTTGGTGGTGGTGGCCGATGGATTTGCTGTCCCTGGAGACTGAAGAGATGACAGAGTGTATGTGTGGGGTTAAAGGTTACCAGGTCTGGCCCTACCCCTTACTGGGGAAGTTCCCTCTGAGCAGCAGTGTTGTTCACCAGGCTGTGCCCTCAGAGTAAGGCTGTTACGCAAGCACATAACCTTATGACAAATGAGAGAAGAAGAATCTCTGCCTATTGGTTTCCCCAGGAATTATCTTGAGAGAGAATAGTGGACACATTTCTTTTGAGGCAGTTCAGAACCACCGTCTTTGCAGCCACTGGATTTATGCTGTTCCCATTATTCCAACGGAGTGTAGATGAGCTCTTCCTAGTGGAGCAAGGCCCTCAAGAGACAGACGCACCCACTCACATGCAAGAAGAGTAATAGAGGGAAATGCAAATGTTTCAGGAGAACTGCAAAAGGTTGTCTGCCTCTGGGGTTTTATCATAGCGGCAGTGGAGATGCAACCCTATGGGGAGGCAGCAGCAGCCCAAAACGGCTTACCTGTTTGATCTGCTCTAGCTTGTCATCATCTTCAAGGAAGAACGTGAGGTACATGTAAGAGACATCCACATCGCAATTGCCCCCGTACTTCCGGTGCTCTTCGACAGTGTCTTTCCCACCAGAGAAGGCATGCTTGTTGATCTAGAACAGGAAAAAAAGGGATTTCAGGATATGGCCAGGCAATCGTTTGGATGGCACTTTCCATCCAGCGGTAACGGTCTGCAACCTGAACCCACCGTATTTGCAAGCCTGCTTTGGACACATAAACAGTTTAGCGACCAACACATTAAAATTTGTTAAGTACAATGGGATTATGTGTATTCCGTCTGATGGTATTTCTGCAGCTCGACTCTTAGAATCTCAGATGGACGGAAAGGACCAGAGGTCATCAGGAGACAGCCCACACTCTGTTCTGCCTCTGACTCACATCCACCTGGGCTACAGTGAGCCCACTGGCAGAAAGCAGGAGCAAGCGAGATCTGCCATACCAAGGGGCCCGCACAGCTAACAGCTCTAGATCAGGGGTTCCCAATGTGGCGGGCGCCATGGTGCCAGCCGACAATTTTCCCGGCGCATGCCAAGTGTTTTCAGAAAGTGGATGGGGCCAGATGGGGCTTTTGCCTAGCAAGATTTCTCATTGGCTGTGCAGATTTTTTAAAACATTGGTTTGACAGAAGCTGCCTCCACAGCACAAGGATCTTCACTGTGTGACTGCAGCTGCTGCAGCAGCCATTTTGTTACTGGCTCCGACCCCCTGTGGCAGCCATTTTGTGGCTATGCCTTCCGAGCTATGTCAGAATTCCAAAGGTGCCCACAGGCTCAGAAAGGGATTTGGGGTCCCCTGCTCTAGACGAATAAATGCTTGCCAACTATGCAATGATTTTCAAGTGTGCCCAAAATACAGCTGCAAGAAATAAAAAAAGATAGATTCATTAAGGTAGTCATTCAGCCTCCTGAAACTACCAATTCAGAAAGAATGTGGAGCCCGTCAAATGGAGGAAACCCGGCTTACTCCACGCATGACCAAAACAGATGAGACCGAAATCTTCCTCTGTCACCAAGAGTCTTAAGAACATAAGAGATGCCAATGTTGGATCAGGCCAAAGGCCCATCCAGTCCAACACTCTGTATCACACAGTGGCCAGAAATACCAGTGCCATCAGGAGGTCCACCAGTGGGGCCAGGACATTAGAAGCCCTCCCACTGTTGACCCCCCCAAGCACCAAGATGACAGAGCATCACTTGCCCCAGAGCCCCTATCTATACCTTGTGGCTAATAGCCACTGATGGACCTCTGCTCCATATGCTTATCTAATTCCCTTTTGAAGCCGTCCATGCTTGTAGCCGCCACCACTTCCTGTGGCAGTGAATTCCATGTGTTAATCACTCTCTGGGTGAAGAAGTACTTCCTTTTATCCATTCTAACCCGACCGCTCAGCAATTTCATGGAGTGCCCACGAGTTCTTGTATTGTGAGAAAGGGAGAAAAGTACCTCTTCCTCTACCTGCTTGGCTTGCCCGTTTGGTGAAAAAATAGTACTTTTCTTTTCATAGCTAAATCAGCTATGAGAGAGACTGGATATGGTGGGCTGGTTCACCTTTCCCCATGCAAGAAGTGTTCCCTTGATCCAGGAGGCTCTTTAACTGATCTACTTCGTTTCTACCCTGCCTTTCCCACCGAGGGCGACCCAAAGCATCCTCCTCTCCCCCGTTCCCTTCATTTTACAGCATTCTCCTCTCCTCCATTTTTTTCTCACCACCACCGTGGGAATTAGGTGATGCTGAAAGTGTTTGACTGCCCCAAGTTCACCCGGCAAACGTCCCTGGAAGAGTGAGGATTCAAACCCGGGCCTCTCAGATCCTAGCCTGACACTATAACCTCTATACCACGCTGGCTCTCTACAGGCTTTTGCTAGCCACTACTTTCCTGCGACTGAGACTCATTTTTCAGTTTTACCCTTCCAACCACTGGGGAGCTCACTCTTAAGGAGAACATACACAGCTGCCAAAGTGCCCTGGAGGTATTTCACAACATACCTGAGAATCGTGTTTTGTCCCGTCAAACATTTGTCTTTTGTGATTCACCGTTTTGTACGAATGCCACAGCGCAACACGCCCACAACACTTCGGGTTGGATCCTGCCAACTTTCCCCCCCTCTTTTGCTCAGTCTGGCCCAACTTCCCACCTCAATACAGCTTCTGTCCATGCAGGTCCCACGACACCTGTGAATACCCTTTTTGGTGGCCAAAGGGGGCTTCCCTCTTCCCCAGTCTGTAAGTGGGAAAGGCGGTTGGATCCAACCCATTCAGGATGTAGAGACGCTATGCTGGAAAACACAGTGCCACACAGACAAAGTCCAAGGGAACAAGTGCATTTGCTTCTTCGAGGCTGATCAGACTGGGAGCGTGCAGGGCCGTGGCTAAGCCACAGACTGGCACAGAAAGCTTGGCTGGCCTAGCAACTGTCGCCATGCAGCCCGTGATTTCTGGTGCCAGGGAGAAGCATCCAATGGAGACGACTGTTTGTTAGCCTGATTTATATCCGAGGCGGTCACTCCTGAAGCCATGGAAACCTGCACTGTATTTTTAGAAGAAATGACATCACCAGGCCTCACACTTACGCCAGCTCTTGGCGGATGCCAGGTGAACAAACAGGATGGTTAGTACATTAAATATTCCTCTGTTAGTTTAGTTGCCAGGGCCAGGATCAGGCAGGCATAGTTACGTGTGTGTGTGTGTGAGTGTGACACCCAGAAGTTTCAAAATATGTTTTGGTACAAATTATACAAAAACTAAGGAGGAGAGAAATGGAGGGGATTTTTCAATCAGGGTGCCTATAAACTGTCAGCAAGCTGCCAAGCATTTTTTTTTGTTTCCCTTTTCATGCGCATTCCTTCTCCTGCACTTAATTGCTGCTCTGCTGCAACCAGTATCTTTCAAGGCCGCTGGAGGAGTCGCTGAGGTTATTGCTTTGGCTTTAGTCAGGATGAGCCGTGGGAAGCTCATACCTGTTTTGCTTTGGGTAGCAGTTGGTTCTCAAGCCTCATGGCGCACGGGGGAACCATAGTAATTGGATGTTGCTGATAGAATGTACCATAACCTTCCATGCACATAGTTTACCTGTCATTTCTAACAGTGTTCCTGTTAGGAATGAAGCTACCTATAGCTTCAAATAAAGTAAAACCTTCCTGCAAGTGTGTACTTCATTGTCGCTGTGGGTCCTGACATAAACACAGGTAAGAAACAAGAGTCACCTCTGCTATCTTCCCCAAACAGGAAGAGCCAGACTTCTCTTTGTGTTCACTCTTTAAATGAAGAATAATTTCCTCTCTAACTTGGCTCCTCCTTCCATGCTTGTGGTGGGATTTTTTTTTTGTTTAAAGCACTGGTTACTTATACGGTCATAGGGTGCCACATGTTCTTTTACTTTAAAAGCCCAACGGTTTGTCTTAAGTCCAAAGACTGGTCCTGAGAGGCTGTGCATGATCACAGTTGTCCAGCCAATCAGTACTCTCCACAGCCACTTCCGCTGCAAACTGGCAGAACTTGTTTCCCCTCTGGTCAAGGGAAGACTGCACAGATGATAACAAACAATGTGGCAAACTGAGCCTTCCAGAAGAGAGTAGCTCTTGGCACAGATATCTAGCCTTTTCCCTTACCAGTTAATAAAACTGAGAAAACACACTGCAATCTACTTTTTAAAAATACATATCTACTATTTACTGTATCTGTATGCTGCACTGTGAGAATTCTTCTCTTACCTTTGTTTTTATTTGTTTGGGTGTGTCGGTGAGAAAGATGGACGAGTTGGGGTCACTGGCGCTCATTTTCGTCTGCGCCCCTTGCAAGGCTGGGAAGAAGACGGAATGCATTAACGCCGGCTTGGCGTAGCCGATCCGCGGGGCCACGTCTCTTGTCATTCTAAAATAGGGATCCTTACAAAAGGGTGGGGGAAAAAGCAAGCATGAATGGCCTTGCGATAAAGAGAGCACACACAGTTTTACCTCATTGGCACTCAACTGGCTCAGTCTCTGCCCACTGGATATCATGTGAACATCTCACTGTTAATAATATCAAGTCACCTAGACCTTGAAGATGCTGCAAGGCTCCTAGCCTAATGGCCCAACTCTTAACTGACCCCTATATATCAGAGTGGTCACAGGCCACAGTGGGAAAGGTGGGTACACTGGAACCCCTCTATAATTGTGGTGAGGTAGCCACCTTGCAGGTGATTAGGAGGAGAATGACATTGTAACGACTAGCAAAATGTGCAAAGGGATGGCTGTCTAGCACAATTCCTTAGTTGGGGCGAATTGCAAGCAGCAGCACACCCTCTGAAGAATGTTTTAAGAACGCCCTGGTCCTGGTGGGTGCACATGGCTTGTGTTAGGTTGTGCAATTCAAACCTTAAGCTAACGACCTAGGAAACCTTTAGGCGGGACTTTCACCCTGTTCTCCAATCTTTGCAAAAGGGAAATGAAGCAATGCAAAAACGTTGCTTTAAAAATGTTTTGAAAGCTCTCTGGACACGGAGGTGGTGGCCCCCTACTTCTCTCAGGATGAGGGGCTTGTGGCCAATGCGGGACAGAATGTGTTCTGGTTCTGTCACCTCCTTCGGAATACAGGATGAACTGAGGTGGAAGCATGTCCCTCTGCAAGGCTCATCAAAGCTGGATATTTTCACAAATGGAGCCAGTGACAGAAGGCCAGGGCTTTCTGTATTCCGCATCAAAGGGAAACCCAAGCACTGTACCAATCCTAAAGAGAATTTTGGCCCACCAGTGAATTCTCCTACTTGGCTGCTTTTCAGTGGTTCAAACACAGGGATGTTCTCTCTGCCTACTAGGTGACAGGTTCTTTGAAGAAAGAATTAGGCCAGGTACTGGGAGGCATAGATGGTGTTTCTGAATTCATGCCTAAAGCCAGTTACTATTGGTGTAGAAATGCCTGACCCCAAAGCTGGACACTAAACTGTCATGAATGCATTGATGGGTAAGGCTCTATGGCAGTGATCCAGGACAATTCACAAAAAACAACCAGGGCAGGTCACGGACCACTGTTTGATGAGCAGAAGGAAAATACACAGGCGGGCCTGACTTCCCCATTCCCCCTACTTGTCACCTTCTAGTAGTCCAAACCCTGGGACAGAACAAATTGGTTCTACATATACCTGGTGAGGGATGGTGCTGCCTGAACTTAATATTAAACCCCCCCCGAATCATGTGCCTACCAAAGTCATCTTAGCCAAAGCGATAACATTGTAACGACTAGCAAAATGTGCAAAGGGATGGCTGTCTAGCACGATTCCTGAGTTGGGGTGAATTGCAAGCAGCAGCACACCCTCTGAAGAATGTTTTAAGAACGCCCTGGTCCTGGTGGGTGCACATGGCTTGTGTTAGGTTGTGCAATTCAAACCTTAAGCTAACGACCTAGGAAACCTTTAGGCGGGACTTTCACCCTGTTCTCCAATCTTTGCAAAAGGGAAATGAAGCAATGCAAAAACGTTGCTTTAAAAATGTTTTGAAAGCTCTCTGGACACGGAGGTGGTGGCCCCCTACTTCTCTCAGGATGAGGGGCTTGTGGCCAATGCGGGACAGAATGTGTTCTGGTTCTGTCACCTCCTTCGGAATACAGGATGAACTGAGGTGGAAGCATGTCCCCACCCTATTGAAAGGACCCAGAAAAGGACTGGCAGATGGAACAGACAGCTCTAAGCAACGGCCTTTGGAAAAGTAACACCAGGAGACAGCATGGGGAAGAGAGACACCCTTTGAAAGATCCAAAAAGGTCTTTGGTTAAGGTCTGGAAGACAAGACTTAATTTTCAGGTGGAAACCTGTCCACAGTCTCGGAACAGCTTACAATCTCCTTTCCCTCCCCCTCCCCACAACAGACACCCCGTGAGAGAACAGCTCTGAAAGATCTTGTAACTGACCCAAGGTCACTCCAGCAGCTGCATGTGGAGTATGGGGAATCAAACCTGGTTCTCCCAGATTAGAGTCCACACTCCTAACCACTACACCAAACTGACTCTACTTTCCTAACTAGTTGTGGACAGAACACAAGAGAAGCCATGTTGGATCAGACCAGTGGCTCATCCAGTTTATCACTCTGTGTCACACAGTGGCCAAAATCTAGATGCCATCAGGAGGTCCACCAGCGGGGCCAGTACTCCAGAGACTTCTCCCACTGTTGCCCCCCAATCACTACAAATACAGAGCATCATAGCCTCACATAGCCCCATCTATGCCTTGTGGCTAACAGCCACTGATGGACCTCTGCTCCATTACAAGACCACTGTCCTCACCTGCAGGTAAACTGGTAAACTGGTCTGCACAGTATGTTATGCTTAGGAGCCAGGTGTAGCCCATGCAGGATGACCTCCAGTGTGGTAGGGACTGAGGCAGTGGCAAGCTCAAGTGCCTAGCCCAGCACCAGTGTGAAAAGTGAGCCCTTATGCCTCAATATATTATTGTGCCAGCTCCCTGTTAGCCAGTGGCAGAAGGTCTAGGAGAATAGCCTGAGCATCTTATATCGTTGCCCACTTAATCTCCAGCAAAGCATATCGGAGTCACTTAAACACCACCAGCATTGCTTATGCAAAGTGGGGAAAGTAGACCAGGCTACAGGATGAGAGACAGAAAGGAGAAAGGCTCACCAGTGTGCTTTTCCCTGCGCACCAAGAGCAATGAAGAAAGACATTATTTAAGACTGCCCCAAGGAACTGGAAGGATCCTCTCAAAAGGAAGATGCCCTTTTGATTCCCTGTGGTTACGCAGTCTCTGTTAGAGAGGCCACATTGTTAGGGTGCCCAGGTACACAGGAGTGTGCATGGATTCCTTGAAACAAGGTAACTTGTGCCAGCTCTCCTTGAAGGTAAGCCCCAGCTAAACTCTCTTAGTTTAAACCTGAAGCACAGTGAGTAGGAATAGAGGGGAATGTCCTTGAGGATGTGGAGAGTATAATTCCATTGCCCCAGAGTAGTCACAGACAGTCTGCACACAAATATTAGGGGGAAGGCAGGCTTAGACCAGGGGATCCAGGCAGAGGGATTTGGCTCCAAACATTTATTTAGATATTTATAGCATGCTTTTTGCTCCCAAAACGGCTTACTCTTTCCTACTCTATTTCACCCGCACAACCACCACCCTGTGAGGTAGGTTAGCCTGACTGGCCCAAGGTCACCCAGCTGCTTCAGGCAAGCATTCTCCTACCAATGCCCCCCCTGCCTCTGGGGGTGGTGGGAGAAATGGTGGGGGTTAGAAATAACATCACATCATGACAGCTGATGCTCTATGGTAACACCATAGAGTTTTTACAACATCACGCAGCACACTAACATCATATCTGAGTTTTAACCCAGACATGATGTCAACATGTGGCGTGTAAGAAAGGGCCACAAAAACTAAGCACTGGTGCAACCTTTCCTGCCCTCTCTCTCATGATCTGCCTAAGTTCACAGAATCCGCATTGCTGTCAGATGGCCATCTAGCCTCTGTTTGAAAACCTCCAAAGAAGGAGAGCCCACCTCCTCCTGAGGAAGCCTGTTCCACTGAGGAACCGCAAAAGTCAGGAAGTTCTTTCTAATGTTTAGCCGAAAACTCTTCTGATTTAATTTCAACCTGTTGGTTCTGGTCCGACCTTCTGGGGCAACAGAAAACAACTCTGCATCATCCTCTATAAGCCCTTCAAGTACTTGGAGATGGTTATCACATCACCTCTCCAGTTCTCCAAGGGCTAAGGCACACCAAATATTTAGTGGAACACACTGAGTTCTTGAAGTGGTTATTTATCACTGTGTATACACAACAGCTTCATTTTGAGTCAAAGTGAAGGATACTTTTAAGTCATTCATGCCCATTAGAATGGCCACTGGAACATTTTGTGTGTGTCCCTGAAGTGGAGCCTGTGCAAGATGGAACCTGATTTTGACGCAATGGAGTTATGTGCCAATGCCCCCCCACCCCGAGGACCTTACCAATAGCAAGAACCCATCTTTTAAACAGCATTTCTGACCAAGTTATGAGAAACTAATATCTACTTACCCTGTTTCCCTTCTGATGTAACCAAAGGGTGCCAAAGAGCATCAGTCTCTTGGAATGTTGCATCCAAAGAAGCAAACTTGTATATTTTGCACCCCAGCTCACACTCAAACTTGACACATGAAGCGAACTCATACTGAATCAGACCACTGGCAAGGTCAGTATTGTCTACTCAGACTGGCAGCAGCTCTCCAGTATCTCAGGTAGAGGTGTTTCACATAACCTGATCCTTTCAACTCAAGATGCCAAGGACTGAACCTGGGACCTTCTGCATGCCAAGAAGATGCTCTACCAGTGAGCCACGGCCCCTCCCAGTTCTCAGGATGCTGAATGCTACAGGCTTAGATTCTATATAGTAGAGGCTGCAATTAAACATATGCAGGATATACCTAGCCTCCTGGTATTTATAAAGCTCTTTTGTCATATTTATTTATTTAGATATTTATACTCTGCTTTTCTCCCCGGTGGGGACCCAAAGTGGCTTACAACATCGTTCTCTCCTGCATTTTATCTGCATATCATGGTAGGTCAGGTTGAGAGTGTGTGACTGGTCCACCCAACAAACCTCCATGGCGGAGTGGGAATTTGAACCTTGGTCTCCCAGACAATCTGGCAACCTCGCTACTACAAAGAAGGGTTCCATCCAGCCTAAAAGATCTTAAACAACTGGCTTCGTACCTGATCAATGGCACACGGGATCAAACACTGAACATCCTTCCTATTGTTGAAGATCTGAGGAAACGATGTACAGAAGGACGGAGCAGCTTGAATAGCAGGAAAACTGATCTTTCCTAGAAAGGCACAAATATATGTTTGTGGATTAGCTTTCCATAGTGAACAAGTTTTCCCCAACCCTCCATGGTAGCAATGGTGTAGTAAAACTGCTTCTAACAAACTGGTTCTCTCACGTTCTCAAATTTTAACTGTACAAGAACAACTACTTATCGATGTCCAGCAACCTTTGCAGCATGACTGCGAACACAGAACAAGACCCAGCTCAGCTGCAAAGAAAATAGATGTAACAACAGTGAGTTGTTTTACTGTATTGCTAGTGCCAGGTATGTTCTGCTAGTGGAAGGGCCTCTTGCAGTGGTGGAGCACACCATCACGAGTGGAAAAGAATTGTTGGATCCAACTCATTAGTTCTGAATGATACCACATCAGCTCCTTGCTTCTTAGGCCTCCCTCTGGATGCATGGCCTTACTGGCATAGTTACTTTTTTACAAGGAAGCTGTGGGCTACCAGACCCTGTAGGCAAAGTACTCTTCTAAAAGTCTGCTTCTTATACCATTTCTTAAGGCCTTGGGTCAGAAAACAACACAAGGGGCATAAAGGAACCTGGAAATGGTGAACTTAATGCGGATTGTGTTGAGGGTCCATGCATGTAAAACGCTGGCTCCCTATGAACTGCAGTTCAGAGACAGGGAGCTCACTTTGGGCTCTCATCCCACCCATTCCCCTTTCAAAAGAGGATCCCCTCCCAACCAGGCCCATAGCCATGGGGGCCCCCTTGGGGCAATGCCCCCTCCTGAACTTGCCCTGCCCCCTCCCCGGGAGGTGGAGGGAGCCTGGGGCTGCTGGTTAGGAGGGAAGTGGAAAGAGCACCTAGCTGGCTGGCTGATGCCAGCCCAGCAGAGTGAGCGAAAGCGGGAAGAGAAGGAGTGCATCTCCAGCGCTGGCACAGCTGGCTCCACTCCAGCCCAAACTGCCAAGCGAGCGAGAGCCACGAGCAAAATTGGAGAGCAGAGCGTGGCTGGTTTGCCTTCCCCTCCTCACCCACTGGATGCCCGGCTGTCATCTCCCTGCTGCTGCCCTGACTCCTCAGAGCTAGCTGCTCATTTGGGGTTTGTTTGGTGTGTGTGCCTTTTTTGGGGGGGAAACAGGGACACAGCTGCCCCCCTCTGCTGGCCCTCCACTGAAACTTTCTGGCTATGGGTCTGCTCCCCACATATATTCTATCTGTAGCTAGGGCCTAGCAGGTTTCCCACTTAACCAGCATCTGAATTGCAGTTTAATGCTAGATTCTAGTTAAGAATAGATATAATCCAATCTCTTCTTCTTCTTCCCCCCTAACCCACTGGATGCCCGGTTGTCATCTCCCTGCTGCTGCCCTGACTCCTCAGAGCTAGCAGCTCATTTGGGGTTTGTTTGGTGTGTGCCTTTTTTGTTGTTGTTGGAAACAGGGACACAGCTGCCCCCCTCCGCTGGCCCTCCACTGAAACTTTCTGGCTACGGGTCTGCTCCCAACATATATTCTATCTGTAGCTAGGGCCTAGCAGGTTTCCCACTTAACCAGCATCTGAATTTCAGTTTAATGCTAGATTCTCGTTAAGAACAGATATCTGGCATGTATGATACATAGAGAAGTCTGATGCCCTTGTTATCCTTAGCCATGATTAAACTGAGAAGGGGAGGCGGGGAGAGAATTCATACCGAAAGGGTATGAGACAGGAAAAGGGTGTACTGATTTCTAAGGAGCCTCCTAATTTCTTAAGTGCAGTTAAGAAGGAGTCAGCACCGCCATCCTTAGCCATACTAAAATGTCACTTATGCCTATAAGGCTAACAGAGACAATCCATTCTCCACTAGAAACTATTCGATGACAGGCAGGCAGGACAAATACTTGAACAACTCTGATGCACATGCCATGAATACATTTCACCACTGGCTGGAGCAGCAGATGAATGCAGAAATTAGAGAAAGAAAGACTCTGTGCCCTGAATTCTAACATGTGTCATAAGGCATCTTATATTTCTTAAAGTGATGGCTGTCGAAGGCCTGGACAGCAGTGCTGTACTGCATCTAAATAATGTGGTATTTCAAGCAGCTAGTACAAACACTCCCAAAGGAGTAATCTGTAATATCAGAACCTAGGCTTTTTATATGAAAGTGCCTGATAACTCCTTAATCCAGGAGTGCAAGAGAAAAACAGAATTTATCAACATGCATAGTGTGGGGCTGCTGCAGATTTAACAGAATGTATTCTGATGTTAGTTTCGGGTGGGTAGCTGTGTTATTCTGTAACAGTAGAGCAAAATTTAAATCCAGTAGCAATTTAAAGGCCAACAACATTTTCCAGCAGGGTATAAACTTTATGAATGATGTATGTGAGCTTTGATGGGCAAGAGCTTATACTCTGGAAAATTCTGCTGGCCTTTAAGGTGCTATTGGATTCGAATTTTGTATTCTAATACACAGATTACTGACTGTTGACTGCATACATCTGATCTCTCCCCCTTCTTTTAACGTTAGATATTCTTTTTTCTTCTTTTTTTTTAAAAAAAATCTGTTTTTCATGTTGGGTTGCAACACCAGTATTCTTACTGAAAAGAACATTCCACTAAACCCTGTAGTTTAAATGAGATTAGTTTAAATGAGATAAAACTGTTTTAATTGCAAAGCTCTTATTATTCTTTTAAGTAATTTGTCATTCTTAATTTTGTAAGCCTCTCTGAAAGCCTTTCAGGGCCCTGTGGCTGGAGTATAAATGTAGGAAAAGATAAAGGGTGTCTAGAGTTGGGATAGCAGTGCCTATCTCTGCTAGTGGCCTATTTACAAAAAGAGAAAGTTGCCCACTGTTTGCTTTGCGACCCACTGGACTTGTTCCCAGTTACTCGCCTTTCTGTGCTACTACAAACATCCCAGGAACTCACCGATGCAGTCGCTGTCTGTAAAGCCAAAGATTCCTTTGACTTGGTTGAACGTAACATGCTTTTGAACTTTTATGATGTTCTTGTAGAATTCTGGACTTGATCTAGCAGAGCAGGAGTGGAGAGACAGAAAGGGAGAAGTTTAGACTGTGGAGGGGGAACCCACCTTCCACAGAGCACTTGCAAGCCTCAATTGCAATCTGTTTTCCCAAAAGCATGGGCTTCTGGCATTCTGCATGGAAATTTAAGCTATGGATGATTTCAGCTTAAATTAAATCCATATGTGATCTTGATCATAAGATTTTTTTTTAAAATGAAGAATCTATGAAGTAGCACGTTGGAAAGATAATCTGCAAGTTTACCGAAAGCCCCTCCACTCAACACGATCTTTTCTTAAATGATTAAAGCATTACATTTTATAGCATTACATTTTATAGCATTACATTTTATAGCACGCCACCTTTAACACTGAATGATCATAGCTGCAAGCACTTTAATTGTTTAATTGTTAATTGTTTATTGTATGTTGGTTTTAACTGTTTTTAAATGTTTTATATGACCAGGCGCATGGTGCCGAAAGTGTAAGCCGCCTGAGCCCGTTTGCGGGGAGGGTGGGATATAAATATAATAAATAAATAAATAAATAATAAAGAAACAATGCCATAGAAGTAGGACCATATTTTGACAAATAATTTACTCGGTATTTGAGTTTGGTGTACAGCAGAACTAAGACTTTCCCCACAATGTATATGAGTCTAATAAGAGACCAGGCCCGTACATATTCCATAATACGATAGAGAATCTCTTTAGAGTGCCTAAGTTGTAGACAACTGGAAAACAACTCAAGCCAGGTAAGTGGGAATGACTATGTTCAGTATACATGCTAACTCCTGCAGTTAGTGCTAAACTTGCTGCTGCTAAAGATACAGAACCTAAGTGTAGCCCAAGTCAGGCTTATTTATATGACTTGTGGTCTGTCTCTGTTCCGGGAACTGCTCTAAATGTCCCACATTAGCGCTTCTGTAAATAAAGATTTCCAAATTTCAGCCTTCCCTCCCATTCTTCACATTGTGACTAAGACAAAACCATCATTAAGGAGAGTCAAAAGGTGGTCAGATGCAAGTAAGCGAGCAGAAAGTGTCAAGGAGTGAAGCTAAATGGATGCAAACATACTTTTAACTGTTCTTGGGCCTGAAAGCCTTTGAACACTTTATAATGCACAAGGGCAGCTTCCTCATTGGCCAGCTGCATGCTCAAAACCCATGACACGTTATTCTAAGTTTGGTTCTTCTTTCGGTAAGTTGCAGTTCCCTCTGAAGATGAAATACTTTCAACCAGTTGCTGTAGCACTGCATCCTCTACTGGGATTTAAAAGGGTAACCACATACACATGGTAACACTGGTGACTGATGGTTCTTTTGCCATCAAATCACAGCTGACTCATGGTGACCCCATGGGGTTTTCAAGGCAAGAGACATTCAGAAGCGGTTTGCCATTGCCTGCCTCCACGTCATGACCCTGGTATTCATTGGTGGTCTCCCTTTCAAATATTGACCAGGGCCAGGACGATCAAGGCAAAACTTTTAATAACATCCCAAGCGATAATTTTTAGAAGCATCCCTTTTGTTTATATTATGCTCTTGTAAATATAAATTTAATTTTACAACAGCAAGAACACCCAGTAAAGAACTGTAGTCTGTTAACATCACAGAAATGAGCCTGGGAGAGCCTCCGACTCACTAGCTCCTTCTCCACTCCCCTTGTGCATGGGTTGTGAAATTAAACAGTTCTGAACTTAAGGAAAACCACAGCTGCTTTTTTCGTCAACCAGATCATATATTATGGTTTGTTCTCTTTTCTCCATGCTAGGATTGAACCGTGCTTTAGAAACTTTGTTCGGAAGTAACAGAACAAACCAGAGTTCATAATTCAGTTGAGATATCACACTTTGGTCTGCCATAAATATAGTAGTATTCGAATTCCAAGCTGCAGCTAAGAGGCAGAACTAAGGGTAGGGAATCCATACACTTGAGATGTGCCTTGCTAGCAATTGTGCTATTTCAGGGTTGCCACTAAAATTTTTATTTTTCATTTCCCTGACTTTCCCTGACCAACATTTGTCAATTTCCCTGACCACCATTCAAATATAACCACAAGTTAAAAAATGAGTATTGCATTAAAGCAAGGCAAGGTTCCACTCTACAACGACACAAGTCTCAACTGCAAAAATATTTGTCAAAGAGATTTAATATCAGCTTCTTTCAACATTAACTGCAGCAACATCTTGTTTTGCAATTGCACCAAAACTTACACCAAGATACAAATTTCAATTCAAGTAAACTCTGAATGCTAACAAATGACATAACATTTTTGTTATTGTTTTAAAGGTACACTAAAAATTATATAAACGTTCTATCTAAAAGGGTTGGGAAAGGGCATCATTAAGTTCTACTCGTATTCTGCTACAAAAGACGTTTGACAACACAGTTCTTAAAAATTGTAAGAAACTTACCCCAAATAGTCCAGATCAGAAAAAATAAAGGTTTTGTTGACGTCAAATCCACAGGCTATAATATCCTTGACGTTTTCTATCGTATACTGGTATGCCTTCTCAATGGTTAGATCTTTCCAGAGGTATTTCTCACTATTTGGAATGAATCTATTAAAAACAGTAAGCTGAAGTTTCTAGATAGCTCCCTGCGATGTTTCCACTAAGTAAATATTTTGTGCATGTTTTACTTCTCTGTTTTAATGTGGGGTTTTATCTGTAGGTTGCTGTGATTTAACATGCAGACCTGTAGAGTAAGAAAGAGGGGGGCTGGATGGGTGACTGAAGTGTGTTATGACTGGATGTAGCCCCACAGCCAGGAATTTTTTCGGGAGGGAGCGTGTCACTAGTTAAAGCAAATAAGATAATCTGCAGGCCCCCACGAGCCTGCGGGGAGGAGGCCGGCACTGGGTCTGTTGTCTTGCAGCTGCCTTCGGATCGATGCTACAGTGGGGCCTTGTCAGGGAGGGAGGGAGGCGGAGGTGGGTGGTGCGTCCAGCTCCCGGCTCAGGTAGGCTACTGGGACAGAGACGTATGTCAATCAGAGGCCTGGCGGCCTGGCTGACCCCGGCCGGCTCGGTGCCTCATCCCCGCAATGTGCAAGGCTCCCTGGCCAGCTGGAGAGGAGAGGCTGGAGAGGAAGAGCTGTTCACTCCCAAGTGCGGAGCAGCAGTGGCGGCAGCATGGAGTGGGCTCAGCTCTTCTTCATCATAATTAAAATGGAAGAAGGAGGAGATTGGATTTATACCCCGCCCTTCACTCAGTCTCAGAGCGGCATACAAACTCCTTTCCCTTCCCCTCCCCACAACAGACACCCTGTGAGGTAGGTGGGGCTGAGAGAACTCTGACACAAACTGCTCTGACAGAACTATGGCTTGCCCAAGGTCATCCAGCAGCTGCAAGTGGAGGAGTGGGGAATCAAACCCAGTTCTCCCAGATTAGTCCACACACTTAGCCACAACACCAAACTGGAGATTGGGTGGGGGACGCAGCAAAATTGAGAGGGCGTACCGACTGTGGTGCCCCCCCCCCGGCTACGGCCCTGATTGGATGGTAGCTGTACCCTAGGGGGGAAAGTTGGCTGTTTTGTTCATGGTGGCTTGGTGTGTGAGAGAGAGTTACTGAGTGTGTGTGAGAGTGGAAAGAAGACATGGAGTGAGGTGCTGGAGAGTGCTGTGAGAGAAATTGGTGCCCTGTGGAGTTTATGAGCCTAAGTGGCAAGTGAGGAAAATAGGCATGTGTGGCTAGGCCTATTTAAGGAACTTTAGAGAAACAAGAACTGTACACCTATCTGGAACCATTACACTTACGACACTATACCGAAACCACTGCACTCTTATACTTCTAAATAAATTCTATTTAAGAGAAAACAACTGTTTTATTTTGAGTAAGGATCCCTTTTTCTACCTTAGAGCCATTCCCATCTACTGACTGTTCTGCCATTCTACCAATTATAACTAAGCCATCCTGTACTTTAGATTCAAGCTAAGATTTCTAAGGCAAGAACCTTTGGTGGCAGTGAAAATAAGTAGAGAACAGTAAAGTAGATAAGGTGGCAGAATAATACGTGTCTTCAGAACACTACAGAGAGGTGCCTTTACACAGGTTAAACATAAAGGAGTTTCAGAGAAAGAGCAAAAATATTACACACCCTCACTCTGTTATTTGATTGGGCTTTGAATTTAAAAAAAAAGATTGAAATCTATCAAAGTAGGACATCACACTCGTTAGCTGGTCTTCCATCCTATTACAAAAATAGCCATCCCTTTACCAAAAAAATGTAAGCTCCATTTATCTTGTGCAGATAGCCAACACATTTATCTTCAACTTTTTTTCTTCTTCATACAACAGTACTAATGGAATCACTGGTGCAATTAAAAAAAAACACAGAAAAAAGGAGACGCATACTCAGAAAAGAAAAAAGTCTCAGAAAACTTCAAAAGACGTTTGACGACGCAGTTCTTAAAAATTGTAAGAAACTTACCCCAAATAGTCCAGATCAGAAAAGATAAAGGTTTTGTTGACGTCAAATCCACAGGCTATAATATCCTTGACGTTTTCTATCGTATACTGGTATGCCTTCTCAATGGTTAGATCTTTCCAGAGGTATTTCTCATCATCAGTCAATTGTATGACTAAAGGAACATTAAATACTTCCTGTAGCCACCTAATAAAAATGAAAGGAGATTTATTTAGGCATTTTAGGGCAGGATCCTTACATATGTCACTGTCATCTGTACGAAAGAGCTTGATCTGAGTTAAAATCTCATATATTTATTAATTCACTGCATGGCCTTTTGCAAGTGTGACTCAGGTTTAAAGACACTTTTCAAGGTTCCTCTCCACCTACCCAACCCCCAGACTTGGTGTGCACACCTGCTTGTCGACAGGTAGGTAAATGTAACATCCATTTATTTCCCAGAAGAGAAATGTAGAATGGTCAAGAGATCCACCGCTTGGAAAATAAATGCATTACTATTTCTGCACAGGGTTTGCTTATATCTTACCTGAGTCTCAAGACACAAAAGCAACAGAGTTCATTCTCAGGCTGAACAGCAGAGTAAGAAACTCACAACTACCTCCCCCCACCCCAAGTGACTCCTGCTCCACGCCCAGGAGTCTTTTGACAATGTATTTTATATTGTGCCTGCTTTATGCTACATGGAACTATGGGCTTTTTCTATAGTCCTGCAACTTAGTTGACTATTTTCATTTGTCAGTGTAGCAATTCCTTCTTCCTGTACTACCAGTTCAGGTCTTCACTTTCCCTCTGTTTTGTTTGTTGCACAGTTTATTCCTGCAGACATAAGAAAAATATGGGACAAAACCTTCAAAAGATTCTCTAGAAGTGAGTTTTTGTGATGCTATCACAGAAATGGGAAATAGATTTTGCGTTGGTTGTGTATTAGAAGCCCTATATGTGATTGGCTCTTGGTGCTTCAGCACAATTGTGCCTTCCCTGTGTATTTCTATTTTGTGTAAAGGGAGCAAAACAAAAACCACCACCAAAACACCCCCCGCCAGATGAGAATTCTCCATTTTCCTTGTATTCCAACCAATGTTTTTATCTGTGAGAAGTCTTATCTTGAGGCATCTCATGGGCTAGGAGACACTGAGTCAGATCAAAGTTTAACACTTCATTGTTTCACATGATATATTTTCCCACCATTCCTTGTGCACATTCAATAAGAATCCTAGCACAGAACCCACAATGTGGTTCCAGTGGGGTCCAGCTTTCCACTAAAAAATAAGCGTTCAAACTCCCTTTCTTCTCCTCAACTGATAGTCTGGAGCAGAGGTTCGTGACCTTATTGAACTTGTGGCACTTTGGGAAGTTTGAGAAAAGGCAGTGGGCATCGAAACAAAATGGCTGCCATGTAGAACAATTATAAAAGGTTGGGAGGTCCCAAGCCAAGCAGGTCCCAAGTCAATCATGACTTCCAGGCATGCACGCACGCACGCATGCACATGCACACACAATACTCACAATTTTTTTTAAAAAAATTAAAAAATTGAGATAACAGCTTCTCATATACTCATAAGAGATAGATTTCCTGTAATTAGCAATTTCAAAAAACATAACACAGAAACTTGCCCCAGGCCTCTGAATGTTTTAAATATAAGATGCGCTATTCAGAGTATCTGAGGAAGGAATTCTCCACTGAGCAACTGATTCAGTACTGTGCATACTCTTTGATCATACAAAGAAAACACACATACAAAATGTGGAAGAGTTTGTAGAATTCAGTTTCAGAAGAGCTTCAGCTTCCAACAGGTGTATATGGAGACGAAATCAAACCCTTTTCCCCAAAGGCTGCCAAGATATGTTTGAACATATGTGGGAAGTGCTGAGTAAAACCTCAGAGGTAGGAGGAGATCTTCAAGATATATAGCTTTAGTGCCCCTCTGACTAAACAGAAGCAGCATCAAGATGAAACTAGTAAATACAAAGAATTTATATAATTTGATTCATAGACTCCAGCTGTCCTTAGTATACATTTTTGTAAAGGTGCAGGACACATACAATCGTGAAAATAAAATCCTCCCGCAACACAGTTCTCTGAATCAGGGCTGCAGGCTGTGCAATGCAGCATGAATCATCAGCACTGACCACTTTCAAAATACTAAGCAAACGTCTATGCAAAATGAACTGTGTTCAGACAGCAGTTACTTACTTTGTAAAAATAAATGGGATGAGGTGGCCGACATGCAGTGCCTCGGACGAAGGACCTCTGCCCGTGTAGAGGTAAAAGGGCTTCTTGTTCTCATATGCATCAAGGATTTGGTGCATATCTCTAAAGAGAGGAGAAAAGAAATATGGTATGCTTTTTCACAAGACCTTAATCAAAACAAAGAGACTGAGAAGAAGTGTGGGAGGCAGGCTTTTGCACCTGAAATTTGTATTCTAAAAGACAAGGTGTGTGAAGTGCCATAAAGTTGCCTCTGACTTACAGCAACCCTATGAATTAATGCCCTGCAAAACGTCCCGTGTTCACAGCTTTGCTCAAGCCTTGGAAACCGAGGGCCATGCCTTCCTTTATCGAGTCCATCCATCTCACGTTGGCTCTTCCCGTTTTGCTGCTGACTTCAACTCTTGTCTTCTCATAATGTGACTAAAGCCTGATAGCCTCAGTTTAGCTTCTAGGGAGAGCTCAGGCTTGATTTGATCTGGGACCCACTTATTTGTCTTTTTGGCAGTCCCCGGTATCTGTACAATTCTCCTCCAGCACCACATTTCAAACGAATCAACTTTCTTCCTGCCAGCTTTCTTCATTGTCCAAATTTAACATTTACAAAGAAATACTGAGCCCACTGAGCATGTGGCAGCTCTGAACTCGCTTGTGAGTGACTATGTTTCTTCTCTTCGTTGGTAGGCATGATGAGATCATGAAGTGCGCTATTAAGAGATACGAGCCCTCTCAATCTCCTCCTTGCCCCTGAAAGCTTGTTTTTGTTTGGAAAGCTTGTATGCCTCAAGAGACCTGTTATCTGGCCCTGACCTAGACAGCCCAGGCAAGCCTGATCTCATCAGATCTCAGAAACTAAGCAGGGCTGACCCTAACAAGTATTTGGATGAGAGACCTCCAAAGAATACCAGGGCTGGGAGGCAGAGGCAGGCGATCAAGCCACTTCTCTGAATGTCCTCCGTGGCCCAGTAGGAGTCGCCAGAGGTTGCCATGACTTCCAGGCACAGGCGTACACACACACAAATGCAAAAATACCCGCCCCCCAAAAGAGACCTGTTCTCTGGAGTATGTGGAATGCAAGGGCTTTGCTCAAACAAATCGACACACCCACCGATGAGAAAAGAAGATGCCCCTGCGTAGGAAATGATGTGGTTTCTGTCCCGTAACTCTCTCTATTCGATTGATCAGATCTTTATCGATTTTGCTGCTGCCAAACCGAACTGAAAATAAAAGGGAGATTAGGTTATACACGATGCTGGGTACATCACCGTTCATGTGAGCACACGACCAAAGAAAGCTTTCAAAAAGTTTTTTTTTAAATATTGTGGATTGTGCTCACTTTTGAATTATGACATGCCTATAGAATATGGAATTTATCAGTGCTCTTTCAATATTTCAAGGCTAAGATCCCCATTGTTAAACTTACAACTTCCTTTTTACCTCTCAGTAAAGGAAGATCTGAAAGATGTTTATTCAGAAGTGAGTCCCAATATGTTCAAAGGGGTCTTATTCCCTAATTATGGTGTTTAAGATTGCAGCTCTCAAACCAAAGAATCTTCCACTGAAGATTTCTCATTTCATTACCCATCACTCATTTCATAGGGATTGGTGGAGGAGCCTCTACTCTGCATGCAGAAGGTCCCAGGTTCAGTCCCTGGCATCTCCAGTTAAAAAGGACCAGGCAGTGAGTGATGTGAAAAACCTCCACCTGAGACCTTGGAGAGCCACTGCCAGTCTGAGTAGGCAATACTGACCTTGAAGGACAACCTCAGTATAAAGCAGCTTCATGTGTGTTCACTACAATCATTTTAGGAAGTTTTTGAGGCCAGGAAATGGAAAACAATGAAAACGAGCTTATTTGACTGGTACTTACCAACTCGAAAAATTATTATTTTGAAAAATGGATAAAGCATCACTTACCAATAAGTTTATCGTAATCTACCCCTTTGGCGTTGGATGTCTGTACTGTCCATGGGTCTACAAAATCTTCATCTTGAGCATCTCCTGGACCGTTACTGACTGGAGTGAAATCTGTTGGAGGGGAACCAGCTTTGTATTCCTGGCCGGTAGATGTTTTATAGCTCAGCTTTAATGACAATAATAACTTAACCGCTGCCTCGATTTCATCCTGGAGGTGAAGGGGAAAAAATTAAAGCGCAACTGTGAGTTTAAGAACTTTCAGTAGCCTGACGTTGCTTCTCTGTCTTACACACACATTATGTTATATTTCAACAGGAAAATGTTGAAATGGTTGAAATTAATAATGCCAAAGTAGAGGAATCACAGCCAATGAAATCACTGCCTACTGAGAACAAGAAAATATAACTATCTTTCGGCTATGCTCCTGCAGAGTGCAGGGGGTTGGACTAGATGACCTGCAAGGTTCCTTCCAACTCTAACATTCTATGATTCTATGATAACTGGTTTGATAATATACTCAATTGGTTTGTAAACATCTTTTTACTTTTGTATGCACATTATATCACAGTTTCTTGTTCTCAGTAGGCAGTGAAATTAATTATGTACCATGAATAAGAGGCCAAAGGGAAGAAGTTGAAATGGCTGCTTCCCTGGACTCCAGGTAAACAAGTCCGAAGAGCAGGCTGAGGTAACCTTGACCACGTCAATCAAGGCCTCCATTTCAATTTTCCACTTCAAATATAAGGACAAATATTTGCCTGTCTCAAAGGAGCACTGTGGGATTTAAAGGAAAAGAAGAGTTCTTAAAGGTTCTTGGACTAAAAGTCACTGTGAAGATATATTATTTTCTTCAGGGACTGACTTCCTCTCCTCCTCCCTGCAATGCCCTTGGTAAATGCCTTTACCAGACATCCTTTGGCTTAAGCTTTCAGAATACGTCTCTTACAGATTTTAGGACCAAATCCTTGAATTAGCATTTTTGCATATTCTTCTTCTGCAACCCTTGCCCCTCTCCCACCAGCCAGCACGGTGTAGTGGTTAGAGTGCCAGAATAGAATCTGAGAGAACCAGGTTTGAATCCCCACTCGGCCATGAAAGTATGCTGGGTCAGTCACACAACTTGCTGGGCCAGTCGCTCCCTCTCAGCCTAATCCACTTCACAGGGTTGTCGTGAAGATAAAATGGAGGGAAGGAGAACGGTGTCAGCTGTTTTAGGTCCCCATAGGGGAGAAAGGAAGAGTAGAAATGAGGTTAAAAAAAGGGATTTTCTGCTCCTGTCAAAAGGCAAGAACTTATCTTGTAGTTTATGTCACTCTCTAATAACAACTAACGTCTCAAGTCACAACCGACTCATGGCGACCCCAAGACCATGGGGTTTTCAAGGCAAGAAATGAGCAGAGGCAGTTTGCCATTGTCTTCCTCTGCACAGCAACCCTTCTCTTCCTTAGGGCTCTCCCATCCAAGCACTAACTGGGACCAACCCTGCTTAGCTTACAAGTCCTGATGAGACTGGGCTAGGCAGCCTGATAGCCCAGCCATGTTACTCTGCAAATAATAAAAACAACAAGCACCACACTTTCTCCCCATCAAGTCCTGCCGATTTTCTTTTTCTGAACTGTTTATGTGGCCTGTTTAATTGTTGTTTTAGTTGTTTTTATACTGTGTATTTTAAAAGCTTGCTTTAATGTTTTTGATCCTTTGCTGCTCTTGGGGACCCTAAGCTAGGTGGAAAGGCAGCATAAAAATGCTTCAAATAAAATAAATAGAGCTGAATTAAGTGCACATCTTTGGGCCCAGTGTGAGTTCCCCTAAGGTTGCTAGAATATCCTTGCCAACAAAGGCTAAGGAGGAAGCAATAAACTGAACTGAACAAGGCTCTTCCACCAGGCTTTTGGAGCCGCTGCCAAAGCCAACATCTGACAGCCTAAGGCCAGAGAGCCCTGTCCCTCCCTGGGACCCTGACTATAGCCTGAGCTAGCCGCCTGAGATGGTCTAGGGAGATCAAGAAGCCGACTGCGAGAAGAGTAAACAACCGCTCTGTAATTAGTAATACTAGCACTTTATTACGTTTTTAGGATTAATTGCTTTTAGGATTGTTAAATGTTTTAACCAATGTTGTCTAACTTATATTTTATGTATTTTGTAAATGCTATGTTGTTTTTTGTAAGCTGCCCTGAGCCGGCCTTGGATGGAAGGGCGGGGTAGAAATTTAATAAATCTAAACTGGATTGGTTTTTTAGTGTGACTGTGCATGGGAGAGAAACAATTTGGCAGGGTTACTGCAACATGCCCTTCTGGTGACCAGCAATGGTGGCTGAAGGGTTAACCTGAAGGGTCTGCTCCAGCAGGTCTTGCTCTTACAGAAACTGAAAAGGAATTTCACCCCCCCCACACACACACAAATAATACTGAATGCTTTCAAAAGTTGCCTACAGACTGCATTTGGATTATAGGCTGTGATTCACATCTGTAAAGAACTGTGTTTCAGCACTGTGCCATGCAAGGTTGTTGGGTGACCTTGGGCCAGTCACATGCTCTCAGTCCAACCTGTCTGACACAGTTGTGATGAGGACTAAAAAGGAGAAGTGGAGAGTGATGTAAGCTGCTTTGGGAAGAAAGCCGGGGAAAATGAAGTAAACACATCACTTATTTAACAACCAGTCAGTAATATTTAATATGTATTCATCCAAAGGTGAAATGCTGTGTTTACCATCAACACTGGGAAAACCAATACCAACAAGCCAAAAAGTGCGATGAGAGATATTTGGGGAACCTTGTGCGCAATGCCTCCCAGTTAGGGAACTTGGAATTTTATTCATTCGCTCTTCTTCCAAGGAGCACTCCCAGCTGTCCCTGCGTCCATTTTATTTGCACAACAACTCTGTGAAGTAGGTTAGGCGGAGGGAGAACGACTGGTCTGACATTTGATGAGTAATTTTTATGGTGAACGGAGATTTGAACTTGGGTACTTCTGGGCCACCCTGACTTGGATTGCCCAGGCTAGCTTGATCTCATCAGATCTCGGAAACTGAGCAGGGTCTGCCCTGGTTAGTACACTTAGATGGGAGACCACCAAGGAAGTCCAGGGCTGCTATGCAGAGGCAGGTAACGGCAAACCACCTCTGTTTCTCTCTCTGGCCTTGAAAACCTTATGGGTTGGCTGTGATTTCACGGCACTTTCCACTACCATTTCTAGACTTAGTCCCGCACTCTAACCACTGCACACTCTCTCCTGCTAAGCTGTAGAAATTTTGGTACCAGGCTGTTTCAACAGATTATATAACTGGATTCTACAAAAGAGTACTTTGTTCCTGGGATATTCAAAAACATTTGTAACTGCAATGTTAACGTTGCTAAAAGTTGGGTTTTTAAAAGTTTTAAAATCCATACCTTTGGTGCTTTCTCCGCTTTTAGCGATCTGACTTTTTCTCCTTGTGCGGTTACTTGTTCAAACAGTTCAAGTGGATTACAAGAGCAAAAGCTACTGTTCTGAATGTCCGCCATTTTTAGGAGTGTAGAAGATCTTTACTATTATTATTTACAATTTACAGTGCCTGCTGCAACTCTGTCTAGGAATTTCCAAAATATCGGGTCAGTTCTAGGAAATAAGAGAATCCACTTTGAGGGAATATGATTAACATTTTCAAACAGCCTCCTTGGGGGGGGGGACCTCCTGTGGATCCATGAGGAAGAGCATTAGCAATTAACTTGCAGTCCCTTGAGGGTTTATACTACTAGCAATTGTCATATTTACAAAATCATAAGGTCACAGGCTGTTACATAACAGAGCTCATGTGCTACTGCAATTAGGCATGACATTTACAAAAAAACCCATGCATGAGTCCAGTCAGTCTACACATTTGTTTTTTATCTAGGGCAATGTTCCCTAGCCTCACTGCACTACCGCCCCTCCCCCTCCCCTCCCCACCTGATACTACTACAGAGAGTGTACTTTGAAATGAATTCTGTGCTTCTTTTGATAGAGCTTCTTTCTTCTGCACAATGCAGCTACTGATGCTGTGATCTAAATGGGAAAACTGGTGGAGGGGGAAGGTTTTTTCAACAAGTGTCAGCCTCCGAATACAATGGCTTTGTCCCCTTCAAGGAAAAGACATATACTTTGATACAAAGCTTGGCTGAGTTCAATGATGCGCACAGACTGAAGCCTTAGAAGGAAGTCCAGTATGCTCAGGGACAATGTCAGGCCACTCACCCCAGTCACACCTATTGCTCCCCTTTTACAACTGTATGTTTTCAACAATGTCTTCTTAATTTCCTCTGATTTTGCTAGATAGCAATGCCCCCCTTTACATTTCAGTCAGAGAGCCAGTTTGGTGTAGTGGTTAAAAGCGGCAGACTCTAATCTGGAGAACGGGGTTTGATTCTCCACTCCTCCATATGAAGCCGGCTGGGTGACCTTGGGTCAGTTCACAGCTCTTTCAGAGCTCTCTCAGCCTCTACAAACAAGTCTAGCTCACCATCTAGTGCCACCTAATGCTAAGAGCTGGAACTTCTGACTGCCAGACAATCTTAGGATCTGCAGGCTATTCTACACACAATGCCATATGATAATCAATCATTCCAGTCATTCCAAGAAATCCAAAAACTGAAAACTGTTTTAAATATTGTGATCCTCTTGCTTTGCAGTAGGAAATACCAGCACTTTAAGGGCTTTCCTACAGAGTTTTTTAAAAAAGATCTCACCACCCTTCAACATATATATATTTCCACCCAGCTGGTACCCGAAAAGTGAGACTCCTTCACTGAATGGGACCCAATAAACCAGGTCTTATCGTTCACCTTTCTCAGAGCACTAGAAGCGAGGGAGGCCGCTGAGCTGAACTGCGGGAGAAAGATACCTCCATGTCTCCCGCGTTCCTCACGGCGCCTTCTTACCTGCCCACAGGACCGGCCGCTTCCCTCGTCGCCTGTCAGGCCGGCAAGGACCCAATTGCATCAGCTGCGCAAGCCGGCGCGTCGCTCTTCTTCATCCGACTAGGAAACATGTTCCCTCCCCGGAACCAATGAAAAAGAGAATCGAACCACGAGAAGAGGGAAGGTCTGTCCTGAGAGCCGCCCGTCAGAGAAGGAGCGACGTCTGCTGTGAAGGCAGGACACAGATGGGAATGTTTGAGGCCGGGGTCGAGTTTCTGGGGGGGACTTTGTGAGGGGAGGACTCGCACGAGCAACGCTTAAGGCAGTGTCTCAGTGAAATGTCCCCTCCCGGGAAGCGTTGTTGAAGTAGCTCCTACCTCAGCAAGCAGACTTCCAAAGCACTGGTTGGGTACTTGAGGGTAAGTTCCAAGCTCAAGAGCTGCCTTTGCCTCTTGGAAGTGGGGGAAAAAAAACCCTTCGTTACAGTGCGTGATCCTATACAGAGTTAAAGTGGAGTAACTCTGCATAAAGCAATTCTGCATAGAATAACTGAACAGGAGTTCAGTGGCACCTTAAAGAGTAACAAAATTTATTCCAGCTATAAGCTTCTTAAAAGTGGGGAAGAAAGCTTTCTTACTGGGCAATCCCATGAAGAGTTTTCTTTTCCTAAGCGGAACTTCAGCTCCTTCACTTTTATTCATTTTATAAAGTCAGAATTGGAAGGGTCCCCAGTCCGATCCCCTGCTCAGTGCATGAAATCCAGCTGATGGCTGCCCACTCTGTGGTTGCATATAGAGTTGCCAGCCCAACCCCACACAGTGGCAGGATCATTTGGGGGGTGGAGACCTGCAAAATGGTCCTGCTTGACACTGGTCACTGTATTGTGCTCTAGGATTTCCCCAATCTCTGTGATTAAAACCATAGAGATTAGAAAGATTCATAGACTGTGGTGACTATGCAGCTTCTGGGTTCCAGCTGAAAGTGATGACGCAGTTTGAGTGATGCTGTTTTCCTCTTGTCACTTCACTGAGCACAGTTGTGGGTTGCCTGCTTATAGCAAGCAAATGGCACCCCTAGCTGAACACCTTCAGTAAAGTTCTCTATGTAATTGGTTCCATTGTCAAACCACTGTTACTCTCAGGAAATTTCACCTAATGTTCAATTGAAATCTATCCTTCTGTAACTTAAGCCCACTAGATCACGTTTTGTCCTTTAGAGCATCAGTGAGCGTTTTCCCTCTTCCATGTGACAGGCCTTCAGGTATCATGTCTCCCTTCAGTCTTCTCTTCTGTAGGCTACCTAATTCCTTCAAACTTTCTTCATGTGATCTTCATCCCTCCCAGTTTTAAGTCACCTTCACAATTACAACTTTATGCTGTCCGTCCTTCAAAGAGCTCGGGGCATATGATTATCCCTGCCCTGCCCTGTTTATCCTCACAACAACTGTGTGAGATAGATTATTATTCCATGTGGATGAAGACTCTTGATACTAGATTACAGCAGCTGGGTTTTACAATCAGTGTTCGCTCTAAGCTGAGTTAGTGTGAGCTAGCTCACAGTTTTTTAGCCTCCAGCTCACAGATTTTTGTCCTAGCTCAGGAAGGATGGCTCCAGAGCAAACTAATTTATGTGGTAGCCAAATCGCTCACTCACAACTTTAATGCCAGTAGCTCACAAAGTAGAATTTTTGCTCTCAAGACTACACAGCTTAGAGGGAGCATTGCTTACAATAGAAGAAATTCTCCAACTGGGTTAGGCAGAAACCCTCTATTGTCAAGTGTCATTTTACCAATCTCAATTATGATAGCATGGTAAGTTGTGCTCATAAAGTTTGTTCGACCCAATTCTGTGGTATTTTGCCACCTCGATTCTTCCCTTCCTATATGAGATATTTACCAGTTCTTCATTATGTTAGGGCATTTGCTGCAGCTGTCTTAACACTAACTCCTCTGAAGTATTGCATGGGAGGTTTTGTAATATTCCATATTCAGATCGTCTTTGCCCATGTGGCCTGGGTAAAATTGATACTTTATCTTATAAAATACTGGAGTGAGCCTTTTTTACTGGTTTAAAGAATCACTGGATTTTGCCTGTTTTATCATGTTTATTGTTTAATAACCTTCAAAGGGTTGTTGTTTCCCTTCTGATGCTAGACAGTGACCTGAATGCAACCTTAAGGTAAAGGTTTCCCTTGCTCAAAAGCCAGTTGAATCCAACTCTAGGGGACAGTGTCATCTCTGTTTCCAAGCCAAAGAGCCAGCACTGTCTGAAGACCTTTCCGTGGCATGTGGCTGGCATGACTAAACGCCGAGGGGGCATGGAACGCTGTTACCTTCTGACTGAAGTGGTACCTATTTATCTACTTGCAATTTCTTGCTTTCAAATTGCTAGGTTGGCAGGAGCTGGGGCCAGAGATGGGAGCTCACTCCGTCATGTGGCACTAGGGTCTCGAACTGCGGAACTACAGGTCTTCCAGTCTGCAGCTCAGCGTCTTAACCTCTGAGCCACCTTGGCCCTTATCAACCTTATCAGTTGCTAAATTCCCATCTATCATATGTTCCTTTAGAAACTAATTTAGTAATCTTCTAGTCATTGCTCAAGCTCTGTTGATCAAAGGAGCTCTGGAAAGAAAAGGTTTGGTTGAAAGAGAATGATGGCCGTGAAGTAGTCCATTAAGTTTCCTGGCACGTGAAAGCTTTCCAGGCTGTCTGTCGCTAGCTCCTACACTACACCAGTGTTCCTAAAACAGTGGATAATTAGCAGAGTTGTTTTGGGAAGGCTGTTGCAGGCCAGTGTGGAATTAATAGTATTTACAACAAAGTGTGAGTCAAGCTTGTAAAATGGATAATGAAAGATGTAATTGTGAGCATAGTAATGGGAACTAGGTGAATCAAGGCCGGTGTCAGCATTCCCTGAGGGAAGGCAGGTGCCGGGGCCTAGGGTTTCAGGTGGGGCCCACTGCTCCCACCACCTGCCCTTCCCCTGCTCACTGGCAGCCAATGCTGCCCTGCATTGGTTATTGCCACCTGTGGACAGTAGCCGGACCTGCAGCCAACACAGAGCCACGCGGCAGGACGAGACCTGCCGGAAGAAGCTGCTCGGGGAAGATTGGCTCCAGAAAGGGCACCACGGTGCCAATATCTGAAGCCGTGGAAGGAAGCCGGATGACAGCTAGCCCAGGGTGCTGGTAGGCAGTCACCACCCTGTAGACAATGTGGCCCTAGTTAGGATTAATTGGTTGGTTAGAACCACTATGTAAACCGCCTAGGGACCCTTCGGGGTCAGGGCGGTATATAAGCCGAAGGTATAAATAAATAAATAAATAGAATATTGTGGTACTCCCAGCTGCACAGGCTGCCTAGCACAGCTAGGAAAAGAGCATGCAAGGTATGTGAACGTGGGAAGCGTGAGGGCTTACAAGTGGGTGCAGGAAGGATGCACAGGCAAGGGGGCACACAGTTGGAATGGGAAAGAAGTCACAAGCAGAGGACCTGATGGGCAGAGGAAAAGAGGAGGCTCCTGGACACTCTGCATCCAGCCCCCCCCCCAAAAAAACCCACTTGGAACCAGCCATGAGATGAGTGCTATAGCATATGCATATTGAATTGGCAGGTGATCATAAGAGCATCTTGTGTTAATTTGACTGACGACAGAGCTTTGTATAGTGAAAGGCTGTTTTGAAATGTCAGTTCTTTTCATTGCAGAAACTATTCACCATGAGGCTCTGAAGGCAGAAGCTGCAGAATTTTGATATATCTGACTCAATGAACTCATTAGTTGCATATGACGATTCGGACTCAGAGACAGATACGGGCAAGTCTGAAGATGCTCTTAGCAGTGAAGCGATTCTTGAAAATCCTGCCGTGTCAGCTGTTGGGTCCAAGGGTGGATTCAACACAATTTCTGAGAGCCAAATCCAGTCTACAAATTATATGGCTGATTCTAAAAGGAACGTCTCCCACCGTGATCCCTTTTTATATCATATAGAGGCTAATAAAAAGTCTTTGGCAGTAGTGCATCCTAAGAAAGTTTATCCTGCTGCATTACAGATGGCTACTTGTAGTCTGGAGCAATCATGGAGTCCTTTGCAGAAAACTCAAGCACTTCCTGAAAATGAGAGTTATCCTCAGAAGAAGAGGGCCTGCGAGGACAGTGGTGCTACTTTACAGGGGCTGAGACCATACATTCCTAAAAGACTGAGAAAGGAAAAAAATCCCGAAGCTGAAAATGGGGGAGAAGGCACAAGTAACTCAGCCAAGCCTGATGTTGCAGGAGATGGAATGTCCATTAAAATTTCCAGATACATCATGCCGTACATAGGATCCAAATATGAGGCAACAGCAATTCCCACAAACTTGGTGTTTCATATGTCTGAACACAGAGGTCCCATCAACGTTGTCCAGTGGTGTCCTGTACAGAAATGGAGCCACATGTTGCTCTCTGCATCTATGGATAATACTGTCAAGGTAATATGGTACAGAATGGATGAGTTTGCATTGTTCCCTGCTTACCGCAAAAAGGGATGGATGCTTTTTAGGAAGGGTAACCTATGACATTTCATGCATTTTGAGAATCACCATGACCCTTTTTCAGTGATGTGAGTTATTTTTATGGCAAAGGGTGCTTGCTTCTGACTATTGTGCAGGCTGTGTTTGTGTTGTGTGAAGTTTTCTATTGACAGACTTCTTTGCTAACCATGAAATTGAACTTCTGCACATTGAGGGGGTGGATAAAAAGCACTGCCACTGCGGGATCCTATGATCAGTGCCAATTTGAGTTGGAGAGAAACGGGGGGTGGAACTAAATTGGAGGATTGTATAGTGATGTAACTCCTTTCCACCTCTGCATTGAGTAATGGGGATGTTTTTCAAGTTCTGTCCTTGCTTCTGGGTGATGGAGGGTAGTGGTGGTGGTCTGCTCTTTGTTTCAAAAGGCCAAACCCAAGTTGAGAGGAATTATGGCGCTGCTGATGGAGAGCTGTTGGCTATAATGTGCCTTCTTGACCTCAGTCAGCCCCCATTGGGTGAAATGAGGGTGTTTCCAGCCCCCTCCCCCCAAGTGTGTTTATGCCAAATAGGGCAGCTGCAGCAGCAGTGATGGTGGAAATCTGAAATAGCTGTCAGCTCCTGTGTATGGGGTGGTAGTAGTACTAGAGCTAAGATAAAGGAAATTAAAGTAAATGTATAAAAGCTAAGATGAATGTATAACTGTATAAAATCTAAGACTTCACTGCCACAGGAAGTGGTGGCGGCTACAAGCATGGACGGCTTCAAAAGGGAATTAGAGAAGCATATGGAGCAGAGGTCCATCAGTGGCTATTAGCCACAAGGTATAGATAGGGACTCTGGGGCAAGCGATGTTCTGTCATCTTGGTGCTTGGGGGGGTCAACAGTGGGAGGGCTTCTAATGTCCTGGCCCCACTGGTGGACCTCCTGATGGCACTGGTATTTCTGGCCACTGTGTGATACAGAGTGTTGGACTGGATGGGCCTTTGGCCTGATCCAACGTTGGCATCTCTTATGTTCTTATGTTCTTATGATATGAAGTAAAAATAAAAGCCCCAGAGACAGAGCACTGCCTTGCAACAACCCACAATAATGCTCCAGAAACAGAGGTCGTGGTAGGTTTTCTGGGTTAGCTTAGGATGGTGAAGGCAGCTGAAATTAGGAGGGTATTGTAATTCTTTATGTATCTGTGCAGATTCTGCCAGTAAGTATGGGCATCTGGTATGTGGATCAGCCTAGTATGGAACTACAAAGTCTGAAATTGTCCTGAGTCTTATAGAGGGGCTGTTTTATATTCTGGAATTCACTGCCAGGAGATACAGCAGTGTCCACTAGCATGGGTAGCTTTAAAAGAGGATTAGAAAGATTGATTGAATAAAGATCTACTAATGGATACTTATTTTATTTACTTCATTTGTACCCCACCTTTCTCCCCAATGGGAAGTCAAGGTGGCTTACATCATTCTCCTCTCCTCCATTTTATCCTCACAACAACCCTGTGAGGTGGGTTAGGCTGAGAGAGTGTGACTGGTCCATGGTCATCCAGCCAGCTTCCACGGCATGAGTAGAGATTCAAACCTGGGTCTCTCAGATAAGGGCCTGACACTTTTAACCACTACACCATACTGGTTGTTAGCACAGTGACTAAATGGAACCTCCACATCCAGAGGTGGTAAGTGCTAGGAAGCAACATCAGGGGAGGGCTTTGACCTCTGTGCTTTGTTGGCTGACTTCCTGGGGCAGCTGGATGGCCATTGTGCGACACAGGGTGCTAGAGTAAATGGACCACTGGCTTGATGCAGCAAGGCTCTACTTATGAGACCAAAGGTCCATCATGCATTCTACTTTCAGCATTAGCCAATCAGACTTTTGGGGAGGGGCTTCCATGTATGGCAGACCCATTATGGTACTAATGGTCAAATAACACAGCCCAGAGAACGCTTAAGGCACTTGCACTTCAATGGGTGATGTCCCTTGAGACATCACCTGCAAACCAGGGTTAGGAATCTTGATAACTTTCCTGCATTTTGTTGAGAGGGACGTTAAACAGGGTCAGCCCTGGTTAGTATTTGGTTGGGAGACCACATGGAAGTCCAGAGACACTATGCAAAGGAAGGCAATGGCAAACCACTTCTGAACCTCTCTTGCCTAGAAAACCCTACAAGGTTACCATAAGTCTATTGCAGCTTGATGGCACTTTCTGCCACAACCACAGCACTGGCTTTTCTGGGTTAATCTAAGATGGTGAAGGCAGCGGAAATTCAGATGGTATCTTCTCGATGTTCCCCTTTCAGTCTTAGGAGAGCTCTTGAGAATGTGAACTCATAACTGATGTTGGGAATGCAGGGATTGTTTTAAACTTCTCTCTAATAATGGAATTGTATCTTTAGGAACATTCACACATGCCAATGGAAGTTAATAGTGGTAGCCTTCTGTGTTGGGGAGTTTAGAAGCCTTAAATTCTTAAGCCTTTGAGGATGTTTTAAATTCTTATGTTTCCATTTTGTGCCTGTGTGCTGCAGAGATATTCTCACCGTGTGGAAAGGTGTGCAGGCTTGGTCCAATGACATGTCCCCAGGAATAAATTAAGGAAGTATTATGGAATATAAGGCAAATGGTTCATCAGCCCCCATTCTCATTTCCTCTGGAAGTATCTGGAACTGAATTATAACCAAAGAGTGTAAATGCTGCAAGCAATGCAGTCAGTCTAAGGTCATAGACCTCTTCAGGCAGTAGGAGTATACATGATGGGTCATGTTGATTAATATCCAGTGGCGGTCTTGCATTTACCCTGGATGGATTTTTTTGCACTGTATAAAAATCCAGGGATGGCGTCTTCTAATATCCTGAACCAGAGGCATGACAGTCATAGATCTGCTCTGAAACTTGCCCTGTCGCCTTTACCCTAGCTCTTGATGGGGTTTGTGTCATTCTTTGAATCATTGCCTGTTGCTTCCTTCTTGGGTCTGAACGGAATTCAATATTCAAACTGTGCTTGTGCAGCTTTTAAAATTTATCTAGCGCTTAATGAAATATTTGTGTCTGCCGTCCCTTTCCAAAGGGGATCTAAACTGTTGGATCTTGATTTTCACTCTTCAGTGGCAAACAAAGCCTGTGTTGCTATTGTTGCAGCCATGATGTCTCCAAGCAGGGCTGGTCTTGGTGTCCCATTGTAGGTGACACATGTTGGTATCCCATTAAAGGGGCAGCAAGCGGTCAGTTATTTACTGTTCTGTTGCCACCCACAGGGGTTCAGAAACTGGATTCTCCACTCCACATAAAGGGGGTTGAAATGTTTTGATGTTCACTGCCTTGGGGACCCTATTTGGGTGGAAAGGTGGCATTAATAAAATAAAACAAATAGTCTTGGCTCACTGCTGACCTCAAGATCACGTTCCAGAGTGAGTTCCTTTAGAGCCCAACCTCACACTTTGTCCGAAGGGCAAGGAAAATAAAGTGTGCAAATCCTTAGATACCGATTAGAATTGCACTCAGGGGTGACATTTACTGACAGGGTGAAATTAAGGAAGGAAAAATGAAGGACAGCATTTTACTTCCAGTCTCTTACTAAGGTTTTGCTAAGTCTCCCAGGGGGGGAAAAACCCAGGAAAGTGATGGGATCTTTGAAATGAGGTCAGCTTGTATAAACTGCCCTGCAAGGAGCTATCAGTAGAGTCTGTAAGATTAATAGACAATTATTCTAGGAATTTCCCACCATGCTGACTTTTCATGAATCTGTACGAGTAACAGAGATTGCAGATTCCGTTCCTTTGTCAGGTGGCCTGGTCCCATTCTCTGCTTTAGTTGCTCCAGAGGAGACTTGGCACTGCAATAGCTTAGGCCAGTAGGGCAGAGCTAGTATTTCTTAATTTAGAATATATGTCCACCCTAATTGCTCCATATAAAAATCTGCAAGTTAGCTTACAACAATAAAGATTCCAAAAACAACGAGGAGAAAGGGTAAGAACAGCAGCAAAAAACCCAAGCACACATGCAATAAAGCAACTGAAAACAGCATCAGATACAATTTAAGCAGCTCATGAAGTCCTAAGCGGTCAACGTAAAGCCAGATAAAAAGATGCTCTGAGTAAAAAGAAAAGGAGAAAGCATAGGGGAGGGGGAATCTAGAAGGCCTCAGAAGACAAAAACCTCTTTGCCTGAAGCCTACAAACTTTGAAATTATACGGTAGGGAAGGATTTTTTGAGCACTGGTGTCACTGCAGAAAAGGCCCTGTCTCTGGTTCTCAGCTTCCTAGCCTCTCAAAATGCCAGCACACAGAGGATGGTCTCTGATGAAGGCTTTAATTGGTAAGCTTCCGAGGCCAGGTGCTAGAGGCATTGACTATTGGTGCAGAACACAGGAGGCAACTTCCATGTGCCAGAGCACAGGTATCTGCTGTCCTGGATCCCCAAATGGTGGTGGTATTGCTGCAACCGGTGCATCCTGTAGGTGCTGTGGCTCAGTGGAGGAGCCTCTACTTTGCATGCAGAAGCTCCCAGGTCTCAGCATCTCCAGTTGAAAGGACTAGGCGACAGGTGATGTGGAAGATGTCCATCTGAGACCCTGTAGAGGTGCTGCCAGTCTGAGTAGACAATATTGACCTTGATGGACCAAAGGGTCTGATTAATTTTAGCTTCATGTGTCTGAAGTTGCCTTACTCCCTCAGATGATAACAGTGCAGTCCTAAGCAATGTTCCCTGTAAGGTGCGGAGTCTTGTGAGCAAAAATTCTACTTTCTGAGCTACTGGCATTACAGTTGTGAGCGAGCCATTTGGCTACTGCATAAATTAGGTTGCTCTGGAGCCATCCTTCCTGAGCTAAGACAAAAATGTGTGAGCTGGAGGCTAAAAAACTGTGAGCTAGCTCACACTAACTCAGCTTAGAGGAAACACTGGTCCTAAGTGGTATTTCATCCTTCCGTCCATTGCAATCAATGGGCCTGAAAGCGTGAAAGTATGCT